GTGATAAAAACAAAACGTATTCACAGTGACCTTACCATCCGATATATGATGACCGTTGAGAGTTGTAAAGGTGATAAATAAAAAACGTATTCACAGTTACCTTTCCATCCGATATATGATCACTGTTGAGAGTTGTAAAGGTGATAAAAACAAAACGTATTCACTGTGACCTTACCATCCGATATATGATGACCGTTGAGAGTTGTAAAGGTGATAAATACAAAACGTATTCACAGTGACCTTACCATCTGATATATCATCACCGTTGAGAGTTGTAAAGGTGATAAATACAAAACGTATTCACAGTGACCTTACCATCCGATATACGTTGACAATTGAGAGTTGTAAAGGTGATAAATACAAAACGTATTCACAGTGACCTTACCAATCGATATATGACAGTTGAGAGTTGTAAAGGTGATAAATACAAAACGTATTCATTCACAGTGACCTTACCATCCGATATATGATGACAGTTGAGAGTTGTAAAGGTGATAAATGCAAAACGTATTCACCGTGACCTTACCATCCGATATATGATGACCGTTGAGAGTTGTAAAGGTGATAAATGCAAAACGTATTCACAGTGACCTTACCATCCGATATATGATGACCGTTGAGAGTTGTAAAGGTGATAAATACAAAAACGTATTCACAGTGACCTTACCATCTGATATATGATGACAGTTGAGAGTTGTAAAGGTTATAAATACAAAACGTATTCACAGTTACCTCACTATACGATATATGATGACCGTTGAGAGTTGTAAAGGTGATAAAAAAAACGTATTCACAGTGACCTTACCATCCGATATATGATGACAGTTGAGAGTTGTAAAGGTGATAAATAAAAAACGTATTCACAGTGACCTTACCATCCGATATACGTTGACAATTGAGAGTTGTAAAGGTGATAAATACAAAACGTATTCACAGTGACCTTACCAATCGATATATGACAGTTGAGAGTTGTAACGGTGATAAATACAAAACGTATTCATTCACAGTGACCTTACCATCCGATATATGATGACAGTTGAGAGTTGTAAAGGTGATAAATGCAAAACGTATTAACAGTGACCTTACCATCCGATATATGATGACCGTTGAGAGTTGTAAAGGTGATAAATGCAAAACGTATTCACAGTGACCTTACCATCCGATATATGATGACCGTTGAGAGTTGTAAAGGTGATAAATACAAAAACGTATTCACAGTGACCTTACCATCTGATATATGATGACAGTTGAGAGTTGTAAAGGTTATAAATACAAAACGTATTCACAGTTACCTTACCATACGATATATGATGACCGTTGAGAGTTGTAAAGGTGATAAAAAAAACGTATTCACAGTGACCTTACCATCCGATATATGATGACAGTTGAGAGTTGTAAAGGTGATAAATAAAAAACGTATTCACAGTGACCTTACCAATCGATATATGACAGTTGAGAGTTGTAAAGGTGATAAATACAAAACGTATTCACAGTGACCTTACCATCCGATATATGATGACCGTTGAGAGTTGTAAAGTTGATAAATAAAAAACCTATTCACAGTGTCCTTACCAATCGATATATGACAGATAAGAGTTGTAAAGGTGATAAATACAAAACGTATTCACAGTGACCTTACCATCCGATATATGATGAAAGTTGAGAGTTGTAAAGGTGATAAATGCAAAACGTATTCATAGTGACCTTACCATCCGATATATGATGACCGTTGAGAGTTGTAAAGGTGATAAATACAAAACGTATTCACAGTGACCTTACCATCCGATATATGATGACAGTTGAGAGTTGTAAAGGTGATAAATGCAAAACGTATTCACAGTGACCTTACCATCTGATATATGATGACCGTTGAGAGTTGTAAAGGTGATAAATACAAAACGTATTCACAGTGACCTTACCATCCGATATATCATCACCGTTGAGAGTTGTAAAGGTGATAAATACAAAACGTATTCACAGTGACCTTACCATCCGATATATGATGACCGTTGAGAGTTGTAAAGGTGATAAATGCAAAACGTATTCACAGTGAGCTTACCATCCGATATATGATGACAATTGAGAATTGTAAAGGTGATAAATACAAAACGTATTCACAGTGACCTTGCCATCCGATATATGATGACCGTTGAGAGTTGAAAAGGTGATAAATTCACGCCGATAACCACTTTACTTTTAACCGATCTTTATACTATCAAAGTTAGTATACAAGGCGTTAGATTGTTCTAGAGAGAATCTCCTTTGGTCCCGAATAATTAGAGTATAAGTTATCAGTTTTTCGTTTTAAAATTTATTATATTTAGAATCTCTACCTCCATGATTTGTGAGGTCGGAAAATATATCATCGTCATTTTCAAAATCTTTATCAAGTTTTTATGTTCTAATCGTCACTTTGTCGGTTTCTAACTTGAAAAATCAGTTTGATATTAGTTTTTGTAACTTCTGATTCATTGTTTCTGTTTTGCAAACTATTGTCAATATACCAAAATCTTTTGGATGTGTACTTGTGCGTTTTGTTGATTTGATTTGTGACGTTTGGCCATCTGTAATGACCATGGATGCTCAGGTAGATATGAAACAGATAAATGAACTATACGCTGATGTAGTGAAAGCTCTATCGAAATCCAGTAATAAATTGACATAGAAAATCCAAACGTGGCCCCCGGGTTATACCAGGCTGGAATAACTGCTAAAGAACTACACTACTCTGCACAAAATGCTTACCTAATGTGGCGTCATAACGGTAAACCTCGTCATGGACAATTAAGTAACCGAATGCGCCAAACAAGAACATAATTTAAATATGCGGTTAGGTCATGCAAGAATGATGAAGTGAAACAGAGCAGACTGGCTAGCACAAAAATTTTAAAATGTCGACCAACGTAAATTCTGGAAGCAAGTTAAACAAAGTATTACGACAACTTCCAATAAATTACCAATCTGCACTGATGGATACCATGGTCAAAATAATATATGCAACATGCGGAAAAATCATTTTGAAGACTTACTCAATAGTATCGAATAAGAAGCATGTTACTTCAGCATTGAATACCCCTTCTGCTCATATTGAAGTAATCACATTATCTGAGATCCAAAATGCAATAACAAGACAAAAAAGGTAGTAAATGTCCAGGATTAGATTTTTTTAAATGTGGAACATTTTAAATATTCAGATACTAGACTTTATGGGCTATTAATGGTTTTATTTAATTGTATGTTTGTACATAGCTTTGTACCAGATGATTTCACAAAAGTTACAATTATACCGCTATTAAAGTGCAAAATTGGTAATTTATCGGACCAAAATAACTACAGGCCTATAGTTCTTATGATTATGATCTCAAAACTATTCGAATGCATCATACTACAAACATGCGAAGTCATATCGATAATCAATTTCGATTTAAAAAGCAGCATTCTACAGATTTATGTCTTTATGTCTTTAAGGAAACCGTTAGCTATTATGTGGAACATATCAGCCCATTATTTGCATGCATTTTAGACGCTAGTAATGCATTTAATAGGGTCAATCATTTGACACTTTTAAAAAAGTTGCTGGAAATGTATACATTGTTCATACTTTAGTCAACTGGTATGGCAAACAGTTGTATTTTGTGCTATTGAGAAGTGTAATATCCAGCGCCTTCCATATAACCAATGGGGTGAGGCAGGGAGGTCTTCTTTCCCCTATGTCATTTAATATTTACATTGACGAGTTAAATCATATATTGGGCCATTGAAACGTAGGGTTACGTCTGCAACCAAATGGGCTGTTTCTTAACAATTTTAGCTTTGCTGATATGTCACTGATAAGTCCGTCTGTCGCAGGTTTAATAAAATTATTGAAGATATGTGAACAATATGCAGTAGAGAATGATATTATCTATAATACACAAAAATCAGTATGCATGGTATTTCAGCCAACTTTTTTTCTAAATTATCATCACCTCCCTCTGTACATCTTAACGGCAATGATATACATATGTCCACATTTATATGTATTTGGGCCAAATTTTGAAATCCAATCAGTCAGATAATGAAGTTATGATGAAACATTATCGATATTTGTATACTCGAACAAACGTGCTTCTACGCAAATTTAAGTCTTGTTCATCGAGTATCAAAATTATATTATTCAAATCTTATTGCTGCACTATGTATTTTGCTCCACTGTGGACAAACGTTAGTGATAATGTGAAAAGAAAACTAGTAATTGGTTATAATAATAGTCTTCGCTTTATATTAGGTCTTCCTAGATGGAACAGTGCCTCCAACATGTTTGTAAATTATAATGTATTCAGTTTTGAGGAAGTAATGAAAGTATGAGTATGTATATTTAATGATAATTGTTGTAAATGTATCTGAGTACTTATACACGTTATTTTATGTTTTACTCTATATCCCTATTTTAATTTAGATGTATGGACTATGGAATCTAAAATAAAAGATTCTTATCTCTTAAATGTATGCTTGTGAAACTTTATTGTTTATTTTCTAGTCATTGACTGCCTTTTGAATTTAACGTTTTGTTAACCGACATTGATTTATCCTGTGTATCTTCATAGCCAATTCCAATAATATTCATGCACTTTGATAACGACGTTCAAACAGTCCCTAATGATATAAACGCCATCGCCTTCTGATCGATTTTAGGCAGGATTTATCCATGTCTCAACATTGTGACAATATTGCACAGATTTAACTACTTTCCACTACAGTTGTTCTCATATCTAGTGATATGATGTGATTATGACTTTTAACGTAGCTTTTAATAATTGCTCGGTCATATCGCTACAATGCCTGTATTATGGCAGTTTATAGTGATGTCAAGCACTGGGGCATCATGCCTCAGACATGTAACATGATGTCCCACTCAGTCAAATTATTATGACACCAGGCCGACCAGTCCTAAAAGTAATCTCTTAATTCTGAGCGCCAAGCGAGGCAGCTATTAGTAAAAATTTTGCAAGTCTTTAGTATGACTCGACCAGGGATCGAACCCACGACCTCCCGCATACCAGGCGGATGTTCTAACCACAACGCCACCGGAACGGTATCTCATATCTAGTAATTAGACAGTTTCTTAGAGCAGACGTAATAATATAGTCTTCACGAAACTTTATTAAATAGTTTCATAAAAAATGAATCCTTAATTTTAGGAATTATTCGGATATTTTAAGTATCTATCAATATAAAAATCTTGAGCTAAAAATATTGTTTTGTATTAGTAGTTTTGGCCAGGTTCATGTCTCTTTGTATTTTGAAAGATTTGCTTGTGAGTTAGGCAAATATGAAGCGAAATAAACCATACGAGTGTGAAATTAGTTTCGTACTGTGTGGTCATTGCGTGATTATATTAAATTATGTGTACTAATTGAGCGTTAAGAACCCTTCAATTGACAATGACTTGTCCTGAATGCCTTCGAAGAGAATGAATTTAAATAAGGTTCACGGAGGATTTTCGTTCGTTCGATAGTCAAGACTATGCATATAATATTATTAATAATAATAATAATAATAATAATAATAATAATAATAATAATAATAATAATAATAATAATAATAATAATAATAATAATAATAAAAACAAGAGAAATATACTGGTATTGGAGTACTGATGTTTTTAAAGAAATAGCCAAATCATAATTTAGTTGTACCTGTCCCACTAAAAGATTCGAATAGAGGAATTCAACTGGATTCTTTTAATCTTGGAACTACAAGTCTGCAGAATTCGGAAGTTATGGAAAATCTAGATCAACCTCATTTGCAAGCTAAGATATAAGTGAACTTAAAACAATTGTCTGAAAAAAAGCATTTGTTTCCATATGTGCCTACAAGGACAATTTTTTTACGACGTTGAATTCGTAAATTTGAAACCCATGAAACAACACCTATACAGGATGAATCCTTTTAAACAGCAAAATATAAGAGATTCAGTATTTACTGGACAATGATTTTATAGACAATTATTTTATAGAGCCCAGTAAGAGTGATTGGAGTTCACCGTGCATTCTTGTTCCGAAACAGGATAAAACTTTCCGAAGTGTACGAATTATAGGAAGGTGAATAGTGCGACAACAGTTTTGTTTCCACTGCCAAGAATCGTAATTGTATCGACAAAATTGGAAATGCCAAATACGTCACTAAATTCGACCTTTTGAAGGGCTTTTGGCAAATTCCCGTAACGGAAAGGGCACGAAAAATTTCGGCATTTGTGATTCTAGATGGACTCTATACCAGTACCGAGTGGTGCCATTGGTGATTTAAGGACTCTCAGAGCACATTTCAACGCCTTATGAATATGATTACTTCGGGTCGAAACGACTATGGTGCATATATTGATATCATTTACAACAACACCTGCAAAAAGCATCTAACTACGATTCGGAAGTTTTTAGACCCCCAGATGCAAATCTGACTTAATTTATCTAATAAAAGTGAGTTCTGCCATGCAGGTGTTACCTTTCTAGGACATGTTGTGGGACATGGACAGAAAAAAACTAGATACTAAAGTCAAGGCTTTTTCAGAATTTCTTGTGCCAGACTATAGAAAACAGCTGACGCGAATTTTACGTATGGCTGGATACTATCGAAAATTGTTCTAATTCTTCTGATGTAGTTGAACCTCCGACAAACTTGTTGAGAGAAGAAAAAAGTCGAGTGCTTTGCATTACATCATTTCTAAGTTTATATTAACTGCTATATCTCCGGATGTTTAGTGATAACAACCCCCTCACTTTCATCAATAGAATGAAAGAGGCTGTTTAGAAATGTTCTTTAATAAATTCATAATCCTCGTGTAATCTTACCTTGTGTAAAATTTACATTTTATTACAAATCTTTTGGGGTAAGGTGTTACGACCCTGTAGTTAAAATGGTTGTATTAAGAATTTTTGTATATATATTTAATATATATATATATATATATACATACACACACACACACACAAGTCTAATGTTGAAAACAATGTTTACCGAGTCGTAGATGTGAATCCTGTGAGCACGTGCTGTGTATAACAAATTGTTTACAAGTAAACATTCTGGATTAGCTATGAAAACGATCGGCTGATACTTGGTCAGGCTTTCCTAAGGTCCAGAATTATTACGAAATTGCATGCGTGCAATTTAAGCAACGTATTATCTTTTGAAATTTTTGTAAGACGCAGTCACGGACATGGCAGTCATATTAGTCATACACAATTGTAGAGTCGTAAAGTCTGTTATGCAATTTATATTACCCTTAAAAATAGAAATAGATGTATTTTTGTGCTAGAAAAGTCTGTCCGTATGTCTACGTAGACCATATTTTGTTAGAGAATTTAATTTTTTAATTAGTTTCTTCTAAAAAAAATATTGTTTTCCTGGAGAAAAACAGACATTGTTCCGAAAATGTTATAAAGTGGAATGGAATACAAACTGCTTTATTGTGTAAACTCTTGAATTTAATGTTAGCCTTCGTCTGACGTGGTAATCAGCCATTTTGGACTGAACTGTAGAACATGTTTTCTAGGAAAAAAATATGTTAAAATTTACAAAGTTTGTTCAATAAACTTTCTTTTATGTTACTTTAAAAGCCGATATATATATATATATATATATATATATATATATATATATATATATATATATATATATATATATATATATATATATATACATACATACACATAGATAAAGATCTATATCTCCTTTCGTCTATTTCCTTTTTCTTTCTTTTCCTCCCGGGTTGTTTAGAGAAGCTTTCTCAATCTCAAAACGGATAACGGGCTACTATAAACTACCGTTAGACGTAGATGTATGCAATAAAATGCAACAAAAGGCAAAACTAAAATTTATAAAATGGGCAACTATGAACAATTCAGTTTTATAACCATATCGAACTATTCATTTGAAAACTTTATATATTCAACTAACCAAGTGAAAGCTTTACATAGACCACTACTAAATGGATATATTTGTAAAAAAGACTTTACACAAACATAAGGAGGATGGGAAAAAAAGAATTGAAAAGAGGAAACAAAATCAATTGCACGTTTCTTTATTTTACTTCAACACGATTTATCTTATTCTTGCTCTTTTTAGCTACTGAAATTTCTATTTAAACTGAAATATGACTGACATTGTACATTTAATTGTTATGAAGGTTGAACTTGGCAACTGCATGACGGTTCGCATATACAGTTCTTCGGCCCAGTACAGCTATGTCCGCATATACATTTCGAATCTACAAATAAAATATTAGAATATAGATCTGTTGAATTTCTTCAAAATGTGCTGTGTACATTTACAAGATGGCCACAATTTGACAGCTGGTAATTATTGCCGTAAAAGAAATAAAGCAACTGTCAATCATTTTTTACGTACAGATGATTATGATAATGCAGCAGCAAAATCTATAAGATATGCATCAGGACTTCATTTCATAATGAAAGACAAACTAGCTCCTTTATTTTCAAAAATTCCAACACCTAGCTAACAGTATCGTGATTGCTGTTAGGTAAAACATACTCTTATCAGAACAAAGTTCTAAGTCTAAACTATTCATTTTATTTTTCTTAACCCTTACTTTCAGAGCTGAAATCCCACGATGTCAGCTAATGTTTTCTACATGACCATTACTGCTTTAAGCTGCTCATTCTTGTACAATTAGACGATTTTAGAATCAAAACCATTTCATGTACACTTACAATTAAACGATTTTAGAATCAAAACCATTATGTACACTTACAATTAAACGATTTTAGAATCAAAACCATTATGTACACTTACAATTAAACGATTTTAGAATCAAAACCATTATGTACACTTACAATTAGACGATTTTAGAATCAAAACCATTATGTACACTTACAATTAGACGATTTTAGAAATCAAAACTATTATGTACACTTGAAACTATGAATTAATATCATCGAATAAAATGTAATGTAGGTACTGTCCGTTTTTCGTGTCAAAAATGACCATGCATGCACTGGAGTCACTGGGCTTGAGTGGGGGGGTTGCTGACGCACCATACGACACTAGTTGACAGTAAAATAACTAAAATGTCGTGAATGTGGAGGAAAGGGATACATGCCGGTGGCACCACGAGTTGCCGCACCAACCGTATCGACGCCACTGCATGCGTATTTTAATGTTTATAGGAACACGACTTCCAAATAACACCTCCAGTAAGCACAAGGTCTATAGACCTCAATTGTGTCTGACAGTCGCGATAAAACATCTGGATTCCCAAATCCACCTGATTTCTAAATTAGATAACTCGTTGTCATGTTCCCCTAGTTGGATTTCTCGCTAAGAAAAAATATTCGAGCGAGATTAATATTTACGAAAGAGTTTTAAATAGATTTGACTAATAGTCGAGCCACTCTTGAGTGTTAGATCCGTTTTTCAATCTTCAATATCTGGCGTGGGCGTTGAGTGTCAGCAATCTAGCCAATCAGACAACCGATCACGGCCATTGTAACAATCCGTGTCCAATTCGAGTAATGTGACAATATAAGCTTATAATTTTTGTATGATATGTATGCTGCATAAATATAACAGATTTCCAACACTGTTTGATAGAAGCGTTAGGACCCAAACCTTGACAATCGCACACAGAGAGAGAGAGAGAGAGAGAGAGAGAGAGAGAGAGAGAGAGAGAGAGAGAGAGAGAGAGAGAGAGAGAGAGAGAGAGAGAGAGATTACCTGTACAATAACACTGGATTTTACATTTGCCTGTACATTCACAATCCTCTTTGCAGTTGCACAAGGCATCACAGTTACACTGCATCTTGCAAGCATCGGTACACTCGCGGTCAGTATCTGACAACTATATTATATATATATATATATATATATATATATATATATATATATATATATATATATATATATATATATATATATATATATATATATATAGTTGTATGGCGCAGCTTAAAGCGGAAAACCTTTTAAACGTAGTTACGCTCCATTGTGGACAGGCCAAGTAACGTTCGAATAGGTATGCATAATTAAAATTAAATAGAAAATTGAGCCTTGTCCTGCCACCTAGGTCTAACGAGAATTAAGCTAT